CCAAGCTTGAGAGATGAATTTTTGAAGAAAATTATTTTCTGAAATTGTTTAAAGGATTTGGAAATGAATTTTGATTAGAACATGTCGGTATCGGGCCCATATTTTGGTTCGACGCCCGGTACAGGTCTTATATGTGATTTAAGATAATTCTGTGAAGTTTGGTAAGAAACGGAATCCGTTTGACGTGATTCGAACCTTAAATGCAAAATTTGATGTATAAAGAAGTTTTGAGAAATTTCATTGATCTTGAGGTTTAATTCGATGTTCATGATGTTATTTTGGTGATTTGATTACACGAATAAGTCTGTGGTATGTTTTTGATGTCGTGTGTATGTTTGGTTTGGAGTCCCGAGGGCTCGAGTGAGTTTTGAATAGGTCACGAAGTGCATTTTGAACTTAGAAAATTGCAGAATTTTAGCTGGTGTGCCCAGGCCTGCAGGCTTCACAAATACGAGCTCGCAAATGCGAAGGCTGGATCGCAAATGCGAAAACAGCCCAGGCCTGCCTTGCTCGCAAATGTGAAACTCCCATGTTCAGCCTTGGGTCGCAAATGCAACCCTTTCTTCGCAATTCCCAGCTCGCAAATGCGAGCCTCCCTTCACATTTCCCAACCCAGCAGAGGTCGGGGTTCGCAATTGTGAATGTCTTGTTCGTAATTCCCATATCCGAAACCTGCAACTTTTATAGTTAGACGATTTTCAACCCATTTTTCACATCTTTTCAAAACACAACTCTCTAGGGCGATATTCCAAGAACAACTCTTCTTCCAAATCCATTGTAAGTTAATTTTTACTCATTTCCTTCAATCATTAACATCTTTTAACATGATTTCAACTTAAAATCAATGATTTTCCTGGGGAAATTGGGTGTTTTGGGTAGAACATAGGTTTTTAAAAAATTGGGGATTTGGACCTCGATTTGAGGTCCGATTTCAAAATAAATTATATATTTGGGTTCGTGGGGGAATGAGTAATCGGGTTTTGGTTCGAACCTCGGGTTTTGACCATGTGGGCCTGAGGGCTATTTTGACTTTTGGGTAAAACTTTGGAAAACTCATTTTCATGCATTCGAATTGATTCATTTAGCATTTATTGATGTAATTAAGTAACTTGTGCCTAGATACGAGCGGATTGGTGGTGGAATCAAGGGGTAAAGCTATAATTGAATCGTGAATTGTGTTCGTGACATCGAGGTAAGTGTTTGGTCTAACCTTAGCTTGAGGGATTAGGAGTCGAGTCCTATTTCCTATGCGATAATTGTTGAGTACGACGTATAGGCATGATGACGAGTATCTACACGTTGGTGTCTAACATGCCCGTGAGTCTTTATATTATGATTATCATGACTTCGTTGTATCTTTCATACCTTGGTGATGGTTTCTATTTGTTGTATAAAGTTTGTGGAAGAAATTGTGACCTATGAACATTGAGGAGCGTTGGCTCAAGTGGTAATAACGACTTGTGAAAGTATAAGTGACAATTGAACCTTTAGAGCATTGGCTCGAGTTGTGAACTGAATTGTGAAGGTATAAGTGATAATTGAACCTCTACAGCATTGACTCGAGTTGTGAAGTGAATTATGAAGTAAAAGTGAGAAAGAGAAGAGATCATTATGTTGCCACCCTTGCCGGGATTAAATTGTTGAATTGTTGTTCCCTTACCGAGATTAAATTGTAGAATTGTTGTTCCCTTGCCGGGATTAAATTGTAGAATTGTTGTTCCCTTGTCGGGATTCTTATTATAATTTTATTTATTTTCCCTTGCCCTCTTGTTTATGATTGTTATTTGGGTGAGGAAGAGTGTTAAAGCACGAAGGGTGATGCCGTGTATGATTGTGAGGAAAGAGTGTAAAGCACGAAGGGTGATGCCGTGCCGCACGATATACCATTCCGTGCCGATTATATTGATTATACGGTGAGGAAAGAGAGTAAAAGTACGAAGGGTGATGCCGTGCACATTTTTATTATATGATTGCTTTGGTGAGGACGAGAGTAAAAACACGAAGGGTGATGCCGTGCATTTATTGATTTCTAATTCTTTGTTGCTATCCGAGTTATATTGTCTCTTTCTTTTACTTGTTGTCTTCCTATTTGGAATTGATATCTCCCCCGAAACATGCTCCCCTTCCATACTTGACTGGTTATTTCTGTACTTCTTTTCCGCTGTATATGTATTTGAACTGCACAGGTTTATTTGGTAGTCTGGTCCTAGCCTCGTCACTACATCGCCGAGGTTAGGCTAGACACTTACCAGCACATGGGGGTCGGTTGTGCTGATACTATACTCTGCAGTATGTGCAGATCCCGGAGCAGCTCTTGGACCGTAGTTTGGAGGTTACCTTCAGTCCACACGGAGATCCAAGGTACACCTGCAGGCGTCCGCAGGCCCTGGCGTCTCCCTCTATTCCTATTTCCTGTTTCATTTTCCTTTTATTCAGAAACAATGCATTGATATTTCTTCAAACTTTGTATGTTGTAAATCTTAGACCGTCTATGACATTGTGACACTAGGTTTTGGGTGATTAAGGCTTGAGTAATTGTAATAGACATAAATTTCATATATTTTATTGATGTCTTCCGCTTAAATTTAAAGTTCCGCTGTTTATAAGTTATCGCCTTATATTTGTTAAAAATAAATGAATGGATAATGAAGTAAATAGTTAAAGGGTTGGCTTGCTTAGCTCGCATTAGTAGGCGCCATCATGACTCACGAGGGTGGGAAATCCGGGTCGTGCCATTTTCAAATATGTAAATTTTATTTCGAAAAATTTAAAATTTTTATGTTCAAATGCACAATCAAAATTACGAAGTTTAAATCTCGAGAAGTGAAAAGTGTCACATAACACAAATAACGTGACACCCTTAGGTGTGAATGATAAGATATATTAGGTTGCTTACCATACAATCTTTCACTCGGAGACTGTCCACCTAACACTTTAGATTGTACGAAAAAGGACCAAAAATACCCTTAATATATCTTATTACAATATGTGGTCAAAACTTGGTAATGAAGTGAATTTCTTGATTTTGAAAAGTACAAAACCATTGTACTTTGATGGAGTGCTGAAAAGTAAAAATATCAGTATAGAGGTTTAGAGTAAGCAAAGCAGAGAGCCAAAGAGCTTCATCATCGGGGATTCACCTGGGAATGGAAATTTTGGTGAAATAATCCAAGTTAAAAAAAAAAAGAAGAAGATGGGGGCGGTTTAAAAAATAGGTGTATTTTAATTTAATTCTGAATAAAAACATGGCAAATCATAATGTGCCACGTCGCTATTTTAAAGAGCCAAATTTGACCCAGATTTAGGCCGTTAATTTAAGGGGTATCCATGAGCTCGAAACAAAAATTGAAGGTATTTTTAGATCGAAAGGTGGAAGGAGGGTATTTATAAGCCATTTTTTACACATTAAATGTATTTTTGACTCTTTTCCGATAGATTGTATTCTGTTGATAATAAATACAATGACTTTAAAACCTCATAGGAAACCTGAGAGAGCTCTAATCATTACAAGCAATCCATTTTGTTGAACTGAGTAGATATAAGACAGAGAAATTGTTACAAAATAACAGACTAAGGGGTGTTACAATAGTAGGTTTTAGTCAGCAGGTCAATATCTGACTAGTGGCATTTGTGTCCACAATCCATTATTGGTAGCCAAAATGCAATAACCTTTTTCTTTTTTCTTTTTTCCATCTTTTTAAATAATCAATTTTTTTAAAAAAGAAACGTATATTCTTATTGCAGTTTCCATAATGATTTTAATAAAGGGAAAACCTAGAAAATAATATATTTTTCCTAATAATGGTACATAACCTCCAAAGTTTTTTTTCTCCTTAAATTCTTACAGTTTCATACTTCAGTTTTCTTCCCCTTTACTAATGAATTTTTCCATAGAACCCTGAATCAGTGTAAATCTAAATGAAGACTTGAACACAAGGTCCTTCTGTTTTTCATATTTTTTTAATATAAGTAATGCAAATTTTTACTTCAGAGAAGTGCTTGAGCTTCATACATTTAACTCTTCAACAATTTTTCTTAGCTTTAGAAGTGTGGATTCATTTTTACTGAAACCCAAAGAAGAATAAAATAAATAAAAAGTTTGAATAATTTATCCAAGCATAAATAAAATCTATGAAGTTTTTATTTAGTCATCTTTGGTTACTATAATTTTTTCTTATACAATTTGATGTATTTGCACAACTACATTAAATGCACTAGGCTGTGCATAATTTGGTAANTCCTATTTCTAGGATATATAATATCTCCTTTTGCAATAAATTATCCTTTTATTAAATACATAAGAACCTGAGATATTATATTTTCTCTCGTTCAGTGAAAACCTCAATATCTCTTCTCATGGGTGGAGTTAGTTTCACTAGTACTCAAAGATAAATACTCTTTTTCTAGTTATGAACCTCCACCATTAATGTAGATTTCTCAAGGATAATTTTCACATGGTATATTAAACATATTTCAATGACTCAAATAAATAGACCATTTTGTGGATCCTACTTATTAATCATAATGCTCAATCCATGAATAGATATAATTTCACATGTACAAATTTACTAAGAATTTTTCATGAGTTCAAATAAACAAACCACTTCAGTGGTAACTATTTATTACTCATAAAATTCTCAATTTACAAGTGAATATATATTTAGCTCATAAAATTATTTTATGGTAGACCATAGCTTAAAAGTCATACCAACATTATAAAACTCATACAACATACCGTCATATTTCACTTAATTAGAACCTCCAATCAGAGAACAAAATTCTTCATCGAAAATCCAAACTAGTAATCACGTAGGGCATGAAAATATAAACTTAAATTTGAGAAATTTTTTATGCACAAACATGCCAAACGCTCCAATCATTAGTCATCCAGGATATCAAATAGAGAATTTTACTTTCTTACAAAATAATTATATCATTACACAATATGAATTATACCTTGTAAGACCTAGTCAATAAAATCTTACACCTCTATTATTGAATTTAATACAACAACACGTTTATTTGCTAATAGTCAATGTGTAAACCTATTATATGACTAGTATTTAATCATGGGGACCATGGGGAGTCATCCCCAACACCATTGAATTAAAAAAGAATTAAAATTATTAAGAAATAATTTCCAGAAAATAGAAAACCGTCCAAAACACAGTCCAAACGACCTCAAAACGCCGAAAAATACCATGATTCACTGCTAAAGCAGTGAGTTTTTCTCACCACGGCATTTCCGATGGACCCACCAAATTTCAGCTCAATCGGAGTCCGTCAAGTTCGCTGACCTCCGAAAATTCCGGCTATTCGGTCAAAAACAGGTTTAACGTTTTTCTAGGGTTTATCCCAAAAAATTCGGATAATCTCAATNTCAAGTTCGCTGACCTCCGAAAATTCCGGCTATTCGGTCAAAAACAGGTTTTGCGTTTTTCTAGGGTTTACCCCAAAAAATTCAGATAATCTCAATCAAATATCAATAAGAAAACATATATCTCATGATTATAAGAATAATCCATAAATTATGCACAGTTAATTCACAAAACAGCAGTGTAGTTTTTCAGAAAACCACATATATATGTAATTAAAAAAATGCATATAAACACCATATTCTTGTTTCATGAAAAACTTAGTTATCTAATTAGATGTGAGTGAGCTCTGATACCAATTGCTGGATTATTATATGCAGCGGAAACAATCCCAGTATCAAAATCACATGTAATTTGGACAACTAGCATAAACGGGATTTCACGGGTTACCTCTTGAAGCGTGAACATATCTCTTCTACCACGTGAGCCTTCAGTTCCATAACTTCTCAAT